CGCCGCTGCTGGAGCTAACGGCCAGCTATTCGAGCTATTCAAGTACGGCCTTCTATGCATAGGTGATCCACCGTCAAAGAACCGCTTGGCCGTTATCAGTGTGGCTGACTATGGTGGAACATCCACCACAGAACAGGTATTCACAATACGCCAATTATTGGAAAAGTCTCGCGAGCATGAGGATCAATCCATACCATCTATTTGTCGATTTCAAAGCCGCTTGAAGATTGCTCTTCACCGCCACTCGGACAAAATACCACAAGACCACATTCGTGCATTCTGTGAAGCATTCCCGGACAGATCCGTTGTTATTATCCACGTTAAAGAATGTTACATCGAACAGTATGTAATACATTTTTCTTAAACCGTGACTAGTTCCAGTTCTTATGATGATTTGATGTTTTCGAATAGAAAAAGCAAAATAGTCGAGTGCCTACCCCTTTAATAGCCGAAGAACGGAAACTCTCAGGCATAATACTTTACAAGGGCGTACAATTGCTGGCGTATGTCGACGACGTCGACAGCATCAGCAAAACAAAGGCTATGTCTGTGCGGCGGCGATAGGGAAGTAAAGCGTATGGGTCTGGTGGTGAACGAGGAAAAGAAGTAGCTCCTGCCATCGCACAAACAGTCAGAGCATAAGCGCCTTGGCACTCACTGTTGACAGTTACAAAGTCTGAAAATGTAGACGACTTTATTTATTTCGGAACTAGCATTAACACTAATAATAATGTTAGCCTTGGAATCCGCATGGCGAATATCGCTGACGATTTAACGATGAGCTGAATGAGCTTTACAATGCTGTAGGTAGACATAGTATGCGAATTAAAATGCAGCGGCCCCGTTGGCTTGGTCAAGTCATCGAGCGGTTAGAAACGCCCCAGCTCTGAAAGTATTCAACGCCTCCTCTGCGCTGGAAAGACCATCTGGCTTCACTGGACATTTCCAATTGGCGTAAGTTGGAGAAACGACTGGCGGGCTTTTTTGGACTCGGCCAAAATCGCTTAAACGGTTACGGCGCCAATAAAAAGGAAGATTATAGTATAAAGTAGAATCATTGACCTAGCCCCAGGAAGGGTACAGAGTGCGAAAAAAGTTACGCGCTCTGTCAATCAAAACATATTTGAGTCTACCTCTAATGATCACAGAGTATTACAAACATAAACAATAACTAATAAAGCTTGTGAGATAAAGTTATAAATGCGAGACTTGCAAAATAATCTCAGTTAATATATCTTCATTGATACGAGCAGTAAATTGCTTGATTAATTTATTATCTGCGCAATGTACTTTTATACTAGAGGGCTGCATGAATTCATTCAACACGGCTTAAGATTTAAGGTATCCCCACACCTATGCGATTCTGTCGGTGCGAATCTGTTCCGAAAAAAATTACAACAATGCCGACAACAGTTTTAAATGAGGAACCACAAACTTGTACGATTTTGCCGCAGCGATTTATTCGAACATTCACAGTTCTTCTTTTCGTCGTGCCGCAATCGCCATATGGTAGAAAATTTAAAACAAAATGTATATTTATAACTTACATAATTCCAAACGCTGAGTGTTTTGTACGTGTAGTAGAATATTCAAATCTACTATACCCTGTTTGTCTAGAAGTTTGAATGAATTCATGCAGCCCTCTAGTTTACACGTAGTATGGCTGTTATGGAAGTAATCAAAGAACTCTATCATAATTTAATATACGTACGTTGTATATGTATCGGTCGACGTTAATGATAATATTAGCCAACCACTTTGAAATAAACGTAAATGCGTTTATGTATAACTTTACATTTTAGTATTTACATGTGTAGATACTAGGGTGATTGACTCGGTTTTTCCAAACCGGATTCCACCGGTTTTCTGGGGATATCTATAAGCGTTTTTTTGAAATCTTGATTTTTTATCGAACTAACCGTTTTTTTTTATTTCATATAAATCTTTACCTCTCAATAAAAGTTTAGAGTTTTTCGTTGTTTTCAAGACTTTTTTAAAGCTCAGGAGTAAACTCTAGATAGTTTTAAAAGTTAGGTTATTTGGGGGCGAAAAGTATATAGTAAGTACGTCTTTAAAATAAATATATGTTTTGCGCTTTAACGTTTTCTACGTGTTTGGCCGAGTTTTTCCTCCAATTCGTGTTCTGTTTCTTAATGTTGTGACACAAACGGAGATATCTTCACTTTTACTCCACCTCTGTAGAAGGTAGAAGTAGACTTGGAGGTATGCCATTGTTTGCCGAAGGGCGACCGCTATTTAAAAAAAAAAAACTTTTTTTGATGTTGCTGGGACTAGAAATTGAACCATGGATTTCGCGAGTAGCAGTAGGCACATCTAAGCCCGGCGGAAAAAGCACTGTTCAAATCAGAAAAAAAATCAGAATGAATGCAATAAAAAAAGTTAAAACAATACCAAAAGATAATTATTCACTGATTCTTATTTCTTTTAATTTTCACCTAAAAAAAACTTTGAACTTATTTTGCTTTGCTCTTTTTTATATAAAAGCTGTCTGCTTTTAATATTTTTCGAATAACTCCAAAAACGGTTTTTTGAAAAAAGGTGAATAATCAAACACCCTAATACATACGTATGTATATATAGAAATAAAATTTTCATATGTAAGTATGTAAATATTTCATTGAAAAATACTATATTTGTGGTAATGATTGAATGCAAAAAAGTTTGAGTCCAAGAAGTAGTGAACTCATCTGCCAGTAAGCTTAGTCACGCTTTTATAAAAGTCGATTAGCTACATACATATGTATGTACTTATGAACATGTGTAAGTGCGAAAGTGATTAATCGGCACTTAATTAAATGCTAAATATTATTTTATGCCAAGCGGAGCTTATAATTTTTTAATTGAAGACATGAAGTTTTATAGTAAAATGGTATGTTTTTGCGCGTGCCTTTTAATAAAGCGCTTTGTAAGATATCAAACCAATCATAATTCTTTGTTGATTACTAACAAGCTTATGAACACACAAAAAGAAAAACAAAAAACAAATAGAAAATTCTATATTTAGCTACATACGTTCCCCTATGTATGTATATGTATGCACATTTGTATGTATGTCTGTGCCGTCTGCAATTCTCCTCATCGATCATCGGTAAATTAAAAGTTGTGATTTGTTCGTTGATTTGCCACTTTGTGCATTTGCTTTGTTTTTAGACACTACTTCGCTACATAATAACGGCTAATTGCAGATATTTTTTGGAATTAGTAGCACGAAGTAGCTACAATTTGATTTAATTGTAAAGTTTAATTGGCGGTTACTCTTTTGGTTGGTTCCTTGCAATTTTGTCTTTCTATACAATGAAATTGAAGTTACAGACCGCGACGTATGCGCAAAGATCTTTGAGCAAATTTAAATACGTTAGTTTATGATTTAAACGTAATTTCCCAATCAGTTTTTGCGTTTGCGAAAATTACAAATTCGGTAAGAAATTTCCGTGAAAATTCTAAATAAAATATGAGTGACTTAAGTGAAACTTACCGCAATATTGCACTCGAATTTTTCAGCTTAATAATTAGCAGTTATCTTAATCCTAATGTTACTCTTAATCACAATTTTAATCATAATCTTACTCTCAAACTCAATTTTAATTTTAATCTTAATGTTAATCTAAATGTAAATCTTAACATCACTATTAATTTTAATTTTAATCTTAACCTTACTCATAATCCTAATTCTAAATTTTATTCACATTCTTAATCAAAATCTTAATCCTAATATTAATCTTAATCTTAGCCGTAGTCTTAATCGTAATCGTAATCGTGCCCAACCTCGGCCGCCATCCTATCCCTTTTTCTGTCGTTTCATCGTTATCCTGGCTGCATTCGCGCAAAAGTCCAGCGGGTTTGCATCTCGAGATTTGAACAGTCATTGCACCTCATGTGTAAAAAGTAAGCTTAAGCTCAGACTCCATTTTTGCACTGATGAGGTGAGCTCAAACTCAAGAATTTGTACTTAAAAGCGAGTCGGAGCTTAAGCTAACTTTTTATGATGAGGCGCATTGTGTCGACGAAATTAAGTTTGGAACGTTGTTTCCGAGACCTCCTTGATTGACGGGTGCTTCGTGTAACGTCGCTGAGTCCTGTTGGAGTGTGCAAGGTTTGCGACTGAAATCCTTATCTGCCTAGGGCTTCATAAACGCCTCTTAAAGCTTAACCAGACGGCAGCGTTGATCCGGATTAACTCGGACTTAATCCGAATCAACTGCAGTCAATTCAAGCAGCATTTAATTTGACTCTACGGTCCAAAAAAAAAAGAGCGGATAGCGTCCATCAACCGGATTTTTGCTGGCCATTCCAATGTTCGAATTTTCAGCCGGGCACTCCACCAGACTGTCATGCATCTTAAACAGGCGCTTCTTTGGGGATGGGCCAAAATAATAGTAGTTACCTATTAGCAAATATGAAACTCATCCACCAATTAGTTGGTACAATTTGTATCAGCAACTGCTACGTACGAGTACAATCCCTTCGCAAGGCCATGCATTTTTGCATGTATTTTTGTTTACTTGCGTGCAGCAACAAAAATTGGCAGCTAATTAAATTCATGCGCAAAAAAATTTTCTAATTAAAATTTGCAAACGAAACAAGATTGGTAGCGGTGGGATAGAAAAGAAAAACTAAAAAACACCAAGCTGAAAGCGAAAAAAATATAATACTAAATTTTTATATAAAAAAGGAACAAAAATAAAATTTAAAGACAACCCACAAAGTACAAAATTAAAACGTGATGAAGATATGCAAATTTAGTAAAAAATTACTTTAGACACATAAGTGAGGTGAGGTAGAATTAAAAAAATATACATTTGTTCAAATATAAAAAGGAAAAAAATAAATAAGTAGTGCGTAAGTTAAGGAGTGTATGTATGTATGTATGTATGTATGTTACGGAACTTTTTATACCCGCGTCGCATATTTAGCTGTTTTTTATACCCGAGCGCACTTGTGCACAAGGGTATATTAATTTTGTTCACATAACNATGAGTTGGTCACCACCAACGAATGGACGTTTAGGAGGGGGTTAATCGCCCCTCATATGCAGTTGACTGGTATGCATCGCTGTATTGTCTTCTACTCTCATCCTTTTATGGGAAGCTTTAGAACCACACGAGGTTGGTGTACTGCCTGCAGGCTGGCTGGATGTCTTGCCCGTTATGGTCAATTTACCACGAGCTTTAAGATAAGAAATTGTGTTCATAAATGGAGTATATGAAGATGCGTGTATTTGTGCCATGATAGCATGAGGAGAATATAATAATGCCTTTCCTAAAGGCCATGATAAAATTATCGACAAAATTTGCCTATAAGACTTTTCAGAAAGGTCTACGTCATCTGGATAAAATGCACGAAACAAGTCAGAGGTTGGAATGCCGAACCTGAATTTGCCATAACCTTTCGACGATCCAGCAAAACTCTCAATAGAATGGTTTGTTACTTGCCATGACTCCCAATTTGAGGGATAGTTTTTCTGAATTGATTGCAAAATTAACAGAAACGCTTCTTTCTCCTCATTATTGTCAGGTACAATTTGGGCCAAGTCGCCCATAGTTGTTGTATTTGGACTGGCCATACCTGCAAATAGTTCATCGTAAATAACATGCAGACAAAGGTGCTGCGTAGTTTGCTAATCATGATTACGCATGCATACATTCGCAGCACCTTTTTGCTTTGGTTGCCCGATGAGGCTAGCTAATAGTCAATCAAATTTATGGCATTATTAAATGCAAATGACGGTGCCTATTGAGGCAACTGCGTCTCGTCGTTGGGCCATGGGCGCCGAACGGAATTAATTATTACCTATTACTTCAGTAATTGAGCTGGTTAATTTTTACTTGTTATCAGCTGAGTTATAAAAGCGTACTGACAAGTATGACAGCCAGGTGCTGCTACCCGAGCGACCTTTGTGGAGTATTTGTTCTCGATAGATGGCGCAATAGGCATTGATATGGATCAAGCTAAGGCTGAGTTCACATGAGCGTAATCTCCTTGTGGTTCAAGCGAAGGCACGAACACCTAAATGATTATATAAAATTTCGATCTTCCTTTCATTCGTCCTCATTTCGAAAAAGTATTTGTGAAGTACAGGATATCTACATAAATAGAAACGCGTTTAAAGAAAACAATCTCTTGATTGCGTCTGCATTGCTCCTGCATTACTTGTCAACTATTTTCTAGTTAGCTTTATGTAGCTAACTACAAGTTATATATTTTATAGAAATCCCGAAAAAAGCTAACTACAAGTTGGTTATTTTTCATCAATTGTTAATTTTTGTCTGCAGGGTATGTACGTGTGTTAGACTGACCATATATTATATTTTTAAGGCATTTTTACTGATGAAGAAAACAGTATGAAGAAACTAGCGGTGCATTGAGTTTTCTCACCAGATCTTTGACAAATAATATTCGATCAGACTAACAGATTTTTAATTATGCCAGCATCGACTCTCCCTATAACTAGCCGCGGAAGATATCTGCTTGGAATATCTTTTGAAGGATCTTAAACTTCGCCTAGCAGACGTTGGCGGACCGTTTTATAACACAAGTTTATAGCCAAGGATCCAAAATATATTCCTATAAAAAATATTGCCCGACCAGACCCGACAAGCTGACTGAAAATTTTTTGGTATAAAGTTTTATAGCTCATTCAATTTCAGTACAAAAAGTGAACGTTTGAAGTACCTCAAAATTCGCACTGCTTTTTGAGCATTTTTTTTGATTGGAGGCTTTTCGCATTTTCATTCTCACAAAAAACCTGATTTAAGTTCTAAAATACTCGTATTTTTATATCGAAGAAAATGCACAACTTCGAACTTGCACCATACTGGAATTAAATTGGCTATAAAAATGCATGCCCAAAACTTTTCTAAAAAATCAGATTGAACAATTTTAAATTTGGTTGAATTTTTGCGAATTGCGCATTTACTGACAAATTTTACATGGCAAAATTACTTGATTTCAGCAATATTTTTTTTAAGAATTATGAGCGGTAAACTGCGATAATGTGAACATGCTTTATGATATACTTTTTCTGTTCAAAATTTTAAAATTGCTAATGTGGAAATCCCGAAAATGACGCTATTTGAAAAAATTCATGTTATTTTTTTTGTATAGTTAATTTAACCTTATTTGACAAGGTGACCCAGTANAATTTTAAATTTGGTTGAATTTTTGCGAATTGCGCATTTACTGACAAATTGTACATGGCAAAAGTATTTGGTTTCAGCATAATTTTTTTATGAATTACGAATGAGCGATAAATTACGATTATGTGAACATGCTTTATAATATACTTTTGCTGCTCAAAATTATAAAATTGCTAATGTGGAAACCCCGAAAATGACGCTGTTTGAAAAAATGCATGTTAATTTTTTTTTTGTATAGTTAATTTAACCTTATTTGACAAGGTGACCCAGTTTTGTTTATCGAGTTTACATTTCCGGTTCCAAATGCAAACTAACCCAAAAACAGTGTGCAAATAAGTAGTTTTACACAATTATTGCAACATTTCAAGGCAAAATGAAGTGTGCGGTGCAAAAGTGAAAACAAAAGGCAAGCGTGCGATAAAGTAAATTATTTTTTCATGCATTTTTCCAACATCCGGCATGTGCTGAAAATCGTACATACCTAAAGGGCTACATGCTCAAAATCATAGCTACGTGTTNTTTTTTTTGTATAGTTAATTTAACCTTATTTGACAAGGTGACCCAGTATTGTTTATCGAGTTTACATTTCCGGTTCCAAATGCAAACTAACCCAAAAACAGTGTGCAAATAAGTAGTTTTACACAATTATTGCAACATTTCAAGGCAAAATGAAGTGTGCGGTGCAAAAGTGAAAACAAAAGGCAAGCGTGCGATAAAGTAAGTTTTTTTTTCTGTACATAACTACCTACACATAACTTCATGCATTTTTCCAACATCCGGCATGTGATGAAAATCGTACATACCTAAAGGGCTACATGCCCAAAATCATAGCTACGTGTTCCTATCTAATTAAACTTTGTATGTGTCAATTTTATTGAGGCTTATTAACATTTTATTTTAATATTGTTATTTAGCTTTGTACTACGATTTTGTTTATTAGGGAAAATGGAAAAAACTACGAAGCTTTAGCGGCAGAAGTTATAGCAGCTATTTCGGAGATCACCACATCTTCTCATCAGACTTGTTTTTCTAGATGATGCGGATTCGATCCCTGCTGAAGTCTAGAAAAAAGGAGTCTGATGAGGAGATGTGGTGATCTCCGAAATAGCTGCTATAACTTCTACCGCTTAGACTTTGTTGCTTTTTCGATTTTTCCTAATAAACAATCGTGGTACAAAGCTCAATAAAAATATTAAAACATAATTTCGTTCGAGGCAGAAAATTTGCAGGATTTGGTGTTGGGGTTTTCTGATTATAAAATATCTATTATTCTACCTGCATTATATATGTATACAAGAGACATCTATATACCTAAATATTTCATACTTAACCTTCAAAATTTTCATGAAATTTAACCTCTACTTGGAAAACCCAGTGGCTAAAAATGCTTAGCTCTCTTTAGTTGAATGGATTTCATTCAGCAGAGAAACGCCCCTTGACATTTATGACATTTATTAAGCCGTTTTTCATTTTATTCGTAGAAAAAATGCTTATGATTAAAAAAAGACTCACTTAAAGGTCGGCGAAATCAAATTAATAAACGGCAGGCAAACCACACTGAAGGCCAGCGAGTTACTGAAAATGGTAATAGTCCAGTGATGCCAGATTGTGGGTAATTTCCGTATTTGAGGGATATTTTGCAGCAAAAGTTATTAAATGGAGGAAAAATAGGGATTTTCATTTAACACAATTATCGGTGCACAATTAATCACTATTCAAGAATATTCGACACTCTTACGTAATTAATCGTTCTAAAGATATGATGTGGAGTAAAATTATGTATAAATAGTAAAAATTATAAGGAAAATTTGGAATTTTTTCTCCCTTTAAACAATCAAGCTNAAGATATGATGTGGAGTAAAATTATGTATAAATAGTAAAAATTATAAGGACAATTTTGAATTTTTTCTCCCTTTAAACAATTCAAGCGCTGATTAAGAAAGAATCTTTTCAATTGTAATTGGTGTTTAATGCAAAAAGCGGAACAAATTATCTGATGAAGTGTACATACATATGTATGTATATAAAATAAGGGTTGCTTTTGAATCAAAAAAAAAAAGTCAAGTGCTTCAACGTTAAAGTCACCAAAAATCACATTCGCTTACGCAATGCAAATAATTTGTAACAGTGATTGTTTTAAGAATTGGCAGTAAGTATTCAACCATAAAAACACAAAAAAAGTTTCTTCAAAATCTTGGATTTTAGTAAACACCGAAGATAATTTATGAATGTGGTAAATGTTTTAAAATTCGTTCAGACCTTTAGTTAGTAATTTACTGACCCTTGAATTTAGAAAGAATATTATACGTATATGTATATAAAGGTAACATGAATTTTACTTTTTTACTACTGAAATATATATTTTCAATTCTTAGGGAATTTTTTGGGATACATTTTTAAAATGGGTGGTAATTTAACAGAGAATGTCTGGCATCACTGTAGCCAAATCGTCTCAAGTCACAAGAAGAGTCACCCGCGGATAGTTTCAAATTAAGTGACTTGAGATGAGAATGTTACTGAATACCAGCATTATGCCTTTATGAACATGAGAACTGCATTAATTGCGGAAGCAATAAATATTGGAATTTGCTAGAGAATCACACTCGAAAAAATGTAAATTAAATTGGCTTTAAAGTAAATATAGTATGTATGCTGAAATGTCTACATTCTTACATATGCGAATATAAAAATTTAAGCATGTACATATGTATGTCCATATATACGGATGTGCATACTTGCATGCACGCGCACTTCCCGTAAAAAAAGATATATATATATCTACGTATTTGCGTACTTAACGTTTCAATTTGGCAAATCCACCAGCTCAGCTGCTGCAAACGCACAACATAGCCGGCATAGATAATTTTGGATTACATATTCGAGTAAAACTCAATTCCGAATCGAATGCGCTTTGCATGAGGGAGTCAAGTTAATGCCAAACTAGTATCGGCGTTGAAACCAAAGCTATGTACTATGTACTATCGGAAACCAACTATCAACAGTTTAAAATGTTCACATACTAACTTAGCTTTTGCACTTACATACATACATATATACATACATACATATACTGTGTCTACTTATACATTTACAGCGGTGTAGACTTAATTGGAAACACAAAGTAATTTTCGCTTTATACCTCATGGGGATGTTCGTTAAGTTTGGGCAGGCTGGGATAATTTTTGACAGCTGAAAGCTGAAAAGTATGTCCCTAGGGTTGGCAGGAAATTTTAGCCTATTTCAACATGTAATGGATTATAATGGCCTTTATGGAGCTACTTAGGTGGAATTGCCCTTAAGATCTTGGCAAAATGTTGGCTATGACGTCAAAGCACCCCGATAAGTTAATGTTCGTAGGATATCCAAAATTTTGCTACAAGATGATGCCTAGTCGCCGTTCGTCGCTTCGGTAGTGAGTTCAAGGTTGAAACGGTTTTTGAAAACATTATTCGTAGCCGCTTTGCTTTAGAGTTTCTTTAATATTGCAGAAGTAACGCCAAGATTCTCGTTGTGTAGCCTTCTTAGAGATTTAGATGACATCCTTGTAAGGTTGCCAAAAACCTGTTAAAATTGTTTGCTGGTGCTTGCCTCAAGAGAGGCTAGTGAAAATTGAGTGTTCTAATTCCCCTGCCGGTAGGGTCCTGAAATTTCACAAAAATGTCCACGGAAACAAAGTTAAGTAAGGTTTCTGGAGAGCTGAGCGCCAGTGATGAACTGCCCTTAAAGTTAATATAAACCCTACCATCCCTAATGATATGTTTGAGCTCTACGCCGGAGGCATGTTTCTAATTCGTGGCCAGTAGCTGTCTGTTACTTAAATAGCATACA